GCATTTCCAGGTTCGTCCGGGTGAAGACGGCCTGGAGCTTCTTGAATGCAGCGTTCGAAGTGCTGCTGCGGCCGAGATGCTCCGCCAAAGCACGGATGAGGGCGTCGACCATGGCGAGCTTTGGGAGCGCTTCTGCAGAATCTTTTGCGGCACGTGCCTCCCTGTAAAAACAAGGCCATGCACACGGTGTCAGACAGTCAGTTAGTAAAACAACGGTCGATGTTGAATGATGGATGCAGATGCACTCACCTGTGAGCGATGCAGTGGCTCGAGACCAGATGAGGGATGCAGAGTCGTAGTCGCCCGGTCAGTCCGTTGGTTCCGCCGAGCATGACAGGAGCCCCGTCGGTGCTAATCCCGGCGATCTTGCCAAGGGGGAGGTTGATGCTTTCAAGGAAACCGACGAGCACAGCATACAGGGACCTTGCATCGCATTTGTCAATAGTCAGAAGTGTGAGAAACTCTGTGGTAACCTCGTTTTCGCGCGAAAAAGTGATGAAGACGATCATATGCTTCCCATGCACACGGTCAGTACTCTCATCACAGCTCAAGCCAACGAATGGGCTTGAGTCTATGAACTCCCGCTGCTTCGTACGAAGATAGCTCGTTGATGCGGAAACCAATTCCGCGAAACCGTCCTGCGAATGAACGGTTAGAGAACATAGTGTTAGTGTAATGTTTGATACATGAGTTACGATAAAGAAATGATAAGTTATTTACATACGTTGTGTAATACACGCCGTAGCCATTCTTCGGGAAGCCCGGAGTCCCGCGGGACGCAAGGTGCCGGACGATTTGCACCCACATCTCTATGGGTGCGTCAGTCTTGGTGATGAACAGCATGGTGTCCAGCAGCGCCTCCACAGCGTCGTGCTCCACGTCTCTGGCTTTTGGGCAGTCCGGGATGCGATGCTGTCCGGCAGCCTTGGCCAAAGCCAGCTCCTGATTGCGGATGGCGTCCTTGTGCACCGTGGTCCTTTGATGACGTTGCATGGCTTGAGTCTGCACATCCAAGGCCCCCTCGCCTTTCCCGAAGTTGGTTCATGTTCCTCCATAGTCCATGCACACTGTACATTTCATAGAGGGGAAACCAACACTTGTCTGACAAATAATTAGCCACGGGTAGTCCTCATTCCACCGACGTTTAAACATGAGCAAGGCTTCCTGATACTTTTCCTCTGCGATGTCGGGAATCTCGGTGTCAGACGAAGCAGTGGCGGCGGATTCAACAAGCACGGTAGGTTCGGTGGTCGGTTCATGATCTTGCCTGGAGACGGAAAGGACAGCGGTGGTGTCAGATGTACGGACGAACGACAACTTTGTCTGGTGGTACCGGTGCTTGGAGAGTTTTTGGCTCGGTGGTCCTTTGCGGGTCGTCCCAGCAGCCTTAGAGCACTCCCCTTGCGTGCGAATCGGCAGTGGCAAGGGGCCGTTGTCGACCACGACCGGTACAGCTGTCACGGGAGAAGGCATGGGTGGCTGGGACGGTGACGGGTGGGAATCAGCTTGGGCAGTGGCAGCGGAATCAGCTGGTGTTAGTTGAGGCGGTGGTGGAGGCTGAACAGGCCTACTACGCAAGAAATCCAGGCCCGTCAACCCTACTGTCGGGCCGGGTGGGCTAGGTATGGCGGGGCCTTCACCATCGCCCGCCGGCGATGGGTCAGCCATGGACGGAAATTTACGGCAAAAATCGCGCTGAGATACGGCGTCTAGCAGCTACGAAAGTTACGGGGAAAAACAAGGATTCTTGGAGTTCAGGCTGGGGTTTGGTTGAGAGTGAACAACAGGCTGGAGGGGATGGAGGAAGAGACAGAACAGAACATCACAACACAAAGGTTCCCGAAGCTTCCCAACCCCAGACACATGGCGCGTCGACCACAGGAGTCGCGGCGTATGCGCTGGCAGGACCATCTTGCAAAGTTGGATAAGGGACAAGTTTCATGGCTAGGTGGGAAGCACGTGCCAACAGCATCTTGCAAAGTTGGCCGTGTCAGAGGTCCACTGGAGATCCCCGATGATCCTAGGGAAGGGTTACAGGCACGTTGGCCTGGGGGGTTATGGGCGCACTCACCCGCTACACAAACAAGCCCTTTTATCCCAGTGGTTAGTGACTGGGATTCTGATATGGTATCAGAGCGAAGGTCTCGGGTTCGATTCCCGGTGTGTGCACTTCGGGCATCCCAGTGCGGGGGGGTGTTAGAGGTCCACTGGAGATCCCCGATGATCCTAGGGAAGGGTTACAGGCACGTTGGTCTGGGGGGTTATGGGCGCACTCACCCGCTACACAAACAAGCCCTTTTATCTCAGTGGTTAGTGGCTGGGATTCTGACAGGCCGTGTTTTTCCCCGCGTGTTAAGACAGCGGCGCACTGTGATTGGTACATGTTACAGCATTACAGTGGTTCTAGGGTGGGCGCGGTGTGGTGTTGCGCCACCCAGGCAAAAAAAAATCAGTGCGACAATCACGGTGCGTAACTTACGCTGTACCAGGTGGGTGGTTGGGTACACTAGGGGAAGGAAAATGCAGTATTCGCGTCAGGACGAGTCTCGACACTATCCTGACTCATCAGGGCTGTACCTACAGCCCTATCCTGAGGGCCCAGTATGCAAAATCGCCCTTATACTGAAATCACAGGACAGGCATAAGCCTTATGCTGTTTTTACAGGAGAGTCACTAAACACCTATCCTGATTTCAGGAGAATCAGGATAAAGTATCCTGATAACATAGGCCCTGTTTGCTGAGATGGTGGATATAGGGCCTGAGATGCTTGACCTGGATGGCACAGCAACCTGTGTGGTATCATGAGAACTGAGTCCCTGCTGTTCCTCAAGGTAATTAAGCTGGTAATGAGAATCTGTGCGTGGTAGGTAGCGTGGTGGAGGAGACTGATGAAGGGAGAAAGGGACATCGACAGCTACCGAGGAGTGGCTTTTAGGCAAGGAGTAAATTGAGTATAGGTGTTAGCAAGTTGGTGGCTGGCCAAGCTTTGCCTGTACACAGGTAGAAAGTACATGTGTACCGTATTCCCCCGGACATACCACCCCCCGAAATAGAGCACCCCCCGGGTGGCTTGTGCGGGGGGGGTGCTATAGCGGGCCTCGTTTCTACTATACCCCCCCTTTTGGGGGCATCCTATATAGCACCCGGGGGGGGGTGTTATGTACGGGTATAATTGCAGTTTTTGCCGTTTTTGGCATGACGTGCCCGCCCAGCGAGGCAACCGAGGCTGTTGCGGGGGCTCCGCCATTGTCACCTGCATGAATCCTCGTCGTGCGACGAGGGGGTGTGATTTCGTCCAATCAGGGCCTGACAGTGGGCCTTGTTGGAGCTTGCAATGTGACAGCTAACCCTCGCGCAACACGTTATCGCCCAGTCCTCGGTTTTGCGCACCCAACCAGCAATCTACCACCACGGCACAGATGTACATTTAGTACTAAACGTTTTACGCTATAAAAAAATATACATTATGTAAAGACCCGGGTGCAATGTAGCTTTTTCCGATGACAAGACCCCCCCTTTTTTTTGTGTAGTTATCATAGCACCCTAGGGTGGTATATCCGGGGGAATACGGTACTTGTTCCTTGACCTCAGATTGAGTTGCTAAGAACAGCACAGCAAATGGCACCTCTTTGTGCGGTAAGAGATTACCGTATGTTTTCCTAACATTTGCTGGCCAGATGCATTGAAAAGCAGTGGCTCACGTCCCAAGGAAGACCACAGGCACACTATAAATATATTTCTACACCATTAATACAAGAATTACCATCAATGAGAGGACAGCCACACCAGCAGTGGTCAGAGGACATTGATGGTGATGGTCATCTCATCCCTTCCTCTAACCTCATGGCGCATACCGAGCAATTCAGGCCTGCCCAGAGCAAGTGTGAGTGAGTGAGGGGCGAAGTGAATGGTGTGCATAAAGGTGAAGCGGCGAGAAATGCAGGGCGGGGGGAGGAGGAGACAGGAGGCAGTGCAGGCAGTGGGAGAGGAGACATGGGAGAGCGATGGGCAAACCATGACACATGCATACACATACACATACACATACACATACACATACAAATACACATACACATACACAAACACTTACACATACACATACACATGCGTGTACACATACACATACACATACACATACACATACACAAACACAAACACATACACATACACATACACATACACATACACATACACATACACATACACATACACATACACATACACATACACATACACATACACATACACATACACATACACCTACACCTACACATACACATACACATACACGTACACATACACATGCGCGTACACACACGCACATGCAAACACATACACAAATACATCCAAAACAGCCTCATTCAACATATAGAAAGATCAAAACCATTAGCTCCACACAGGTAATTGCCAGGACACCGCCATACCAGCGGAATTCCTAGCAGGAAACAGTAAGTGAGAGGAGGCGGGGCACAAACCAGTATTGCCACTACACCACCTGCTTCAAAAGGCATCTCAAGAGGTGGCATCGATCACTTGGCATCGCTGCCCTACCTTGCTCTTGCCACACTTGCCAATGCGAATCTGTGCGACTATTGGAATTCATGGCACGCACATTGCAACTCAAGAGTTTACTCAAATTTCACCTCCCTCCTGCCACTCACATTGCCAGACACATTCCCACTCATTTTGACATTGTTCTTCCCACTCCCCTTCCCGCTGGTCCTGCCGGGGCATGTGAGCTTGTGGGAGGGCCAGTGCGCCTTTTGGCACTCTCTGCTGCAATATGCCACCTTGCCACACGCGCCACAGATCTTCAGCTTCACACCACCCTCCACCCTCCCACACCCCCCAGCACCGCACACACGGCCTTGCACGTCTGGAGCAACAGCAGCAGCAGAAGCAGCAGGGATGGAAGGGGAAGCAGGGAAGGCAGGGAGGTAGCAGGGCTCCCCCAGAAGCATCTCTCGCAGACATGCCACAAGATTGACTCCCCTTGGCCATGGCTTTAAATACCCGGATCCTCCCCCTTCTTGCCCGTCCTCTTGCTAAGGATGCTGCTGCTGCTGCCACGAGCACTGAGGCTTTCACGCCACTGCTTCATGTCCTCGTTAAACCTGGGCAGCAGAGCGCAATCAAGCATCTCAGTTACCTCTTTCACACGTGCAATCATATCCTCCTCTCTTGACTGACTGCCTCTGCAGGCCGCCTCCCCCACCTCCACCAAACCATCGACCGGAAGCATTACTGCCGTGAACCACGACTGTACCTCCTCCCACACAACCCTGCAGTCCCCTTCTCCACCCCAGCCCTCTCTGCCCTCTCTGCACACCTCGCCCTCCCTGCCCTTCCCGCAGTTCTTACTCCCCACCCTCTTCCCACCCGCCTTCCGTTTCGCCCCGTTGCTCTCCCCTCCAGCGCTCAAACTCCGGTCCCCCTCAGCCCCAATCTGCTTCAGGAGAGGCGCGGCGCACATGAGCGCGACGTTGAGAAGGAAGGAGACGGGCAGCAGGTCCACCCGTTGCAGCAACTCCAGCAGGCTGCTGCGCGTGACAGCACGGGGGTCGTGCAAAGGGTCCATCCCCAGGCGGGTGAGAAGGCTGCGGAACATCTCAGTGTGCGGAGGGAAGACAGAGAGGAAGCAGTCGAGAAGAGCGGCGGCGGGGCGGTAGGCGAAGTTGGCGATGAGAGCGACAACGGGGGCGTGGTGGATGTACCTGTTGATGCAGAGGCTGCACTGCATGCATGCTGGTGCCTCCAGGAACTTACCGGCGAACTCTACTATGAAGTCAACATCTGCCCTGCAGCGGATGATGGGAAGAATCTCGCTCCCAGGAGGAGGCAGCCCTTTAATGGGAGCTTTCGGGGATTTTCCCTTCTGCGTTGCCGCGTGCCCTCTGTTCTTGCGACCCAGACTGCCATTCGTCCGGCCCAGCCCGAAACACCTGGCACTGGTGTCGTCAGGAAACTTCACAGCAGCTTCGTCCCCCTCAGGCCACTCATCCCGCTCATCCCACTCATGAAATCGGCTGCTTCCATCCAGAGGCGGAGGGACAGCGCCGAACCTGACCAACAGGCTCGGAAAATCCCGAAGCGGGTGGCTCATTGGCAGGACCTTTCCCTGCGGGCTGTCCTTGAAGCAGTTCTTGGCGGAAATGAAATCTGAGCCGTAGATCCGAAGCCACTGCAAGATGCGAGCAACCCGATAGGTAAGCAGCCCAACAACTGCGTCTGTGTTGACAGGCACGAGATCAGAGCCAAACGTCCCATTGCTACTGATACAACCGCTGCTGCAGCTACCCAAGCACTGATAACCATTAGAATCCCTGCTGCCAAGAGAACAGCCGGCTCTCACTGACACCCCTGCTGCTGGTGCCGCTGCTGCTGGTGCCGCTGCTGCTGGTGCCGCTGCTGCTGGTGCCGCTGCTGCTGGTGCCGCTGCTGCTGGTGCCGCTGCTGCTGGTGCCGCTGCTGCTGGTGCCGCTGCTGCTGGTGCCGCTGCTGCTGGTGCCGCTGCTGCTGGTGCCGCTGCTGCTGGTGCCGCTGCTGCTGGTGCCGCTGCTGCTGGTGCCGCTGCTGCTGGTGCCGCTGCTGCTGGTGCCGCTGCTGCTGGTGCCGCTGCTGCTGGTGCCGCTGCTGCTGGTGCCGCTGCTGCTGGTGCCGCTGCTGCTGGTGCCGCTGCTGCTGGTGCCGCTGCTGCTGGTGCCGCTGCTGCTGGTGCCGCTGCTGCTGGTGCCGCTGCTGCTGGTGCCGCTGCTGCTGGTGCCGCTGCTGCTGGTGCCGCTGCTGCTGGTGCCGCTGCTGCTGGTGCCGCTGCTGCTGGTGCCGCTGCTGCTGGTGCCGCTGCTGCTGGTGCCGCTGCTGCTGGTGCCGCTGCTGCTGGTGCCGCTGCTGCTGGTGCCGCTGCTGCTGGTGCCGCTGCTGCTGGTGCCGCTGCTGCTGGTGCCGCTGCTGCTGGTGCCGCTGCTGCTGGTGCCGCTGCTGCTGGTGCCGCTGCTGCTGGTGCCGCTGCTGCTGGTGCCGCTGCTGCTGGTGCCGCTGCTGCTGGTGCCGCTGCTGCTGGTGCCGCTGCTGCTGGTGCCGCTGCTGCTGGTGCCGCTGCTGCTGGTGCCGCTGCTGCTGGTGCCGCTGCTGCTGGTGCCGCTGCTGCTGGTGCCGCTGCTGCTGGTGCCGCTGCTGCTGGTGCCGCTGCTGCTGGTGCCGCTGCTGCTGGTGCCGCTGCTGCTGGTGCCGCTGCTGCTGGTGCCGCTGCTGCTGGTGCCGCTGCTGCTGGTGCCGCTGCTGCTGGTGCCGCTGCTGCTGGTGCCGCTGCTGCTGGTGCCGCTGCTGCTGGTGCCGCTGCTGCTGGTGCCGCTGCTGCTGGTGCCGCTGCTGCTGGTGCCGCTGCTGCTGGTGCCGCTGCTGCTGGTGCCGCTGCTGCTGGTGCCGCTGCTGCTGGTGCCGCTGCTGCTGGTGCCGCTGCTGCTGGTGCCGCTGCTGCTGGTGCCGCTGCTGCTGGTGCCGCTGCTGCTGGTGCCGCTGCTGCTGGTGCCGCTGCTGCTGGTGCCGCTGCTGCTGGTGCCGCTGCTGCTGGTGCCGCTGCTGCTGGTGCCGCTGCTGCTGGTGCCGCTGCTGCTGGTGCCGCTGCTGCTGGTGCCGCTGCTGCTGGTGCCGCTGCTGCTGGTGCCGCTGCTGCTGGTGCCGCTGCTGCTGGTGCCGCTGCTGCTGGTGCCGCTGCTGCTGGTGCCGCTGCTGCTGGTGCCGCTGCTGCTGGTGCCGCTGCTGCTGGTGCCGCTGCTGCTGGTGCCGCTGCTGCTGGTGCCGCTGCTGCTGGTGCCGCTGCTGCTGGTGCCGCTGCTGCTGGTGCCGCTGCTGCTGGTGCCGCTGCTGCTGGTGCCGCTGCTGCTGGTGCCGCTGCTGCTGGTGCCGCTGCTGCTGGTGCCGCTGCTGCTGGTGCCGCTGCTGCTGGTGCCGCTGCTGCTGGTGCCGCTGCTGCTGGTGCCGCTGCTGCTGGTGCCGCTGCTGCTGGTGCCGCTGCTGCTGGTGCCGCTGCTGCTGGTGCCGCTGCTGCTGGTGCCGCTGCTGCTGGTGCCGCTGCTGCTGGTGCCGCTGCTGCTGGTGCTCTAGGCCCTCCTCCTATTCCCTCTCCCTCGCTCACCACTGTTGCCAGCCCGTTCTGCACTCCCTGCTGTCTCAGCCTCTCTCTGGCCTCCTGAATGGCTGCCTCCTCAACCCCATTGCTGGATGCACTCCTACCCCCCGCGAAGAACATGGCTCCCAGCCTGCGGTGCTCTGGCCGGGAGAACACAGAGGCGACTGCCAGGGCGAAGTCAGTCGCACCCACGCCACTCACATACATGCCCTTTGGAATACCCCTGCCTTTTTTTCTGCTACTGTTGCTGCTGAAGATGCTGTTTCTGCTACTGCTGCTGCTGCTGCTGCTGCTGATGACAACGCTACTGCTGCTGCTGCTGCACCCCTCACCGCAGTGGCTGTTGTTGCTGCTGCTGCTGCTGCTGCTGCTGCTGCTGCCGCCTCCACTGCAGGGGCTGTTGCTGTTGTTGCTGCTGCTGCTGCTGCTGCTGCTGCTGCTGCTGCTGCTGCTGCTGCTGCTGCTGCTGCTGCTGCTGCTGCTGCTGCTGCTGCTGTCCCCCTCAATGCAGTGGCTGCACCGGAACTCCCTCCCTTCCCCCCCTCCATGCTTCAAGTTCCAAGCCATGCCATCCACATACCTCTCCCACACACGCCCCTTCAGAGGCTCCCTCCACTGCCCACCCGTCCCATCCCTCCAACCATCACCACCGCCCCTCTCCACCCCTGCACTACCACCATATTTAGCCAGATTCAAAGGCCCCGCCAGAGCACCTGCACTTGCGTCCCTTGTGCCTGCACCTGCACCTTCACCTGCACCCCCCTTCCCCTCAGCATGCGCCTTCTCCAGCCCGCCTGACAGCACATGTTGCACAAAGAACCCAAACCCTTCCTGCAGATCAGCACTCTCCTTCACCCCCAGCACCTGCACCAGCACGGAAGCCGCACAGTCATGCTCCTCCTGCCTGCCCGCCCCCAGCTGGGCCACCAGGGCTGGGTACACCCCATCAAATGTATCCATTTGCGCTGTCCATAGCGTGTCAATGCGCGGCCACCTCGCCACAAGCACAAGGAAGACAGCGAAGCTGACAGCACGGCGGTAGGCAGCCCAGCAGCTGCTGCAGCGCCAGCAACAAGACCACGGTGCAGCAGGAGCAGCAGCAGGAGCAGCTGCTGTTGCAGAGGCAGAATTCTCAACAAAACCACCGTTACACAAAATGGCAGGCAGGCGGGATCTGATCCTTCCTATGTCCATAAGCACGCCCACACGAGGCTCAGCCATCCACTCGAGAATCATCACTTCAGTACAGACGAAAGGAGCAAGAGCACACTTGCAGGAGAATTGCACATGAGGCGGCACAACTCTCCCTGGCTTCCCAAAAACCACCTGCACCCCTGCGGAATACTTCACGACACTCTGTATGGAGCCAGTTCCGGTGACCGTGTTCCAGCGAGGCGCAAGGGGGACGGAGCCAAGCTCCTGATTGTGCAAGAGGGCTCGGAAGAGCTCAAGATTCTCCATGATGATAGCACGCTCTCTCCGGAGGCTCAGTGCCCGGTCAAAGCAGCACTCGCACTCAGCCGCATCCCACCCGCCTCTCACGTCCAAGTAGTGAACCATGTCCGCCCGAGACAGCAGTTGAAGCTTCCCTGGCTTGACCTGACCTCCCAGTCTCCCTGGACCCCTGGTTTCCCCTGCCGACGCCTTGTGGGCTCCAACCGCCTGCTGTAAGGTCCCTGGACCCCTGGCTTCCCTGGCTTGACCTGACCTCCCAGTCTCCCTAAACCCCACCGACCCATCACCTCGAGCCGGCGATGCCAAATAGCGTCCTTGAGTTCAGAAAGGCTGGCCCCACAAGTTTCTACAAATTTCAAGGGTGTTCCCTTTCCTCCTGCACCGCGCCCTGGTGTGTCTCCGTTCAGTGTCGCGTGCTCCTCGTCCTCATCGTCGCTGCTGGAGTTGATGTGGTTCCACTTGCTGTAGTCGATCGCATGAGGCCTCGAGACCGCAGCAGCAGGTGCGGCAGCATGTGTGGCGGCAGCAGTAGGTGCGGCAGCAGGTGTGGTAGCAGCAGCAGGTGTTGCAGCAGGTGCGGCAGCAGGTGCGGCAGCAGGTGTGGCAGCAGGTGTGGCAGCAGGTGTGGCACCAGCAGCAGGTGCGGCAGCAGAAGTAGGTGCAGCTGGAGCAATGGGTGCAGCCGGAGCAGTAGGTGTAGCAGTAGCAGCAGGTGGAGTCGCAACAGCTTGAGCAGCCGGAGAAGCAACAGCAGAAACAACAGGAGTTGGTGCATCAGGAGGGAGAGCAGCAGCAGCGAGAGGCACTTTAGCAGCAACCGCGGCAGCAGGAGCAACGGCAACAACCGGAGGCACAATCGCAACGGGTGGAGCTATAGGGGCCACGCTCTGATCAGCTCCCTCCTTGCGCTTCCCCACTTCACCTCCAGTCACTGTCTTCATGGGAAGCACCTTAATGGTGGAACCTGGTCTCAGCTTCGCTTGCTCCACGGTGCAGTCAGGCGAGAGGTACACCACCTGACCTACCACCATGAACCGGACCACCTGCGTCCCACGCACCGACTCAGTTTCCTCCGCGGTTTTCGCGCCATTGATTGTTCCCTGCCGCACAAGCGCTGCCTCGCACGAAGACTCCTTCGTTCCTCGCGATGCCTGGCGTGCATCGCACGGCAGGCAGCAGTCGGGCAGGTGCGACTGGAACAGGCGGTTGAAGACCGATCGGAGAGGCTCCTCGGGAGAGACAGCGACGTGGACGTCCACGTGTGACGAGGCCGATGGTTTATTATCGCCCAAACGGTTGTCGTTGATTCGTGAATCGCTGCCATCATGGTTGTGGGATCTGCGTTGGATTAAGCATCCAGGAATGCGGAAGCGAACCTCAAGGGCCATGCCTATGCGACAGGTAACGTTAAACGCACTTGCTGCTCACTAGTCTAACTTTGTCCGCCATATCTGCTTTCGCTGCTAATAAATGACGATAAGCTGATGGGACTGTCTCGGATCTCGTCTTCCATAAAGAAATTAACTGAGAACGTGCGAGCTAAACGCGTCCTGACAACGGGGTATGAGGCCGTTGTGTGAAATGGAGAGCAGAAATGACTAACAGCGAGTTTGATCTGAGGTGGGTTCATTTGATCTGGCTCGGAAAATTTGGTTCGATCAATTTGCATTATGGTGTCCCAGGTTCGGGTTTCCCACCATATTCATGAACGCTCAAATCCATCTGATCCAAATCCACGAACCTGACCCGCCCTCACATTCACATTCGCGTTCCCGGAGCGCGACGCTGTGTCAGAATAAACTTAGGGTTTGTAGAGAACGACGGAGGGTAGAATTACAGATCTCGTGCGGTCTATTGACATTGGGATGTACGCATCGCTTGCTTGGTCATGCGTTCCCATGGGTCGTTACGAGGTGGAGCGAATTGCGTGTAGATAGCATGCACTACGATTTGACCTCGTAGTTGGAGAAACTACATCCACCCCGTCGTACATGGGGTCGGATTGCCACCCGCAAATGGCTTGGTGCAGCAACCCCCTTGTAAACATCGTGTATAGGATGGTGTACCTAAGTGGCGAACTGGCGACGGGGTTGGACTGACGAGGAAATGACTGCGAAATGGATCGATAGAGGCGAACGGTGCGATGAATTGGTAACGCGTCAGGGAGGAACACGGATGGGCGTGCGAGGCGAGTAACAGGTGGGAAGTCATGATAAAGTGAATGATGGGTGGCATAGCACGTGCCATGCATGACTCATGCATCTCGGAGGTAGCATGCCATCCTGTCCTCTCTCCTTGATCCTCAGTCCTCTGCCATCCCCTCCCTGCTTCTCCCTCGCTCTTTCCTCCTTTTCCGCTCTTCTTCAAAGGCGAACCCAGCATCTCGTTGTATTCCCACTTCTTTTTCTCGTGTGGCGTTGACCTTTCCTCACAGCCTTCCCTCGCTCGTCTGTCTGTCTGCCGAGAAGAGCCTGTGCTCCCACCCACTGCTGCCATCTGCCCGTCTTCCCGTCTTCCTGCCACACAAACTTGTCCGATTGTCTGCTGAGAAGCATCTAGTTCCCAACGGACACCTTGCTGCTGCCGTCTGCCTTACCTGCCACCTCCACACACCAGGTGCACACGGGCCATGTGGTGCCCCTCCCACTGAATCTCTCTATTCTCTGCGCTCCCTGCCTCACTTCTTGCGTGTCCTGCTCCTCCCCTTCCCCCCCTGCCGTATGCTAACTGGTCCCCACTCTGCATGCCTTTGTCTCGTCCCTTTTAGTATTGTATGAAACATCACTTTTATGCCCAATCCAACTCGCCCCATCTGGTCCTCCGACCTTGCTTCTGCTCCTTCTGTCATCGCTTTGTGCGTTCTTTTTTCAATTCATTCAATGTCCGAGTCGAACCAGGCTCGCTGCACCCGGTTCGGCTCGCTTTGTGTGTTGACCGAACCAATCCTGGCTTGCTCCGAGCCAATGACTACCTGACTTGTGACGAATCCGATGCTGGAGCTTAGGGGGGTTATCGCCAAGTTGGAGTTGGGCCAACATTATTGGAGTGAACCAATAATTCTACCCTACCCAACCTTTGGGGTCCAATAATTGGACCAAGGTTGGGTTTCCAACCTACAAACTGGGTGACCCCTGTTTGTACACCCAAACTGAGTTTGGGTGCTTAACTCTAGCCTAACCTATAACATCTATGCAGGTTACACAAGAAGATAGATTCTAACACAACCCCTTAACCTGCAGAGATGCGGAAAGGCTTGAGTGAAGCAACCCCTGAATCAAGGCGCGCCTGGGGGAGCGAGGCCGATGAGGCGGAGAAGAGCAGAGTGCGCAGGGCGAAGGAGTGCTTTGGTGAAGATATCTGCCAAGTTGGCTTCAGCGGCGATCTTACGAACGGCAATGAGATTCTGTTGGACGAGTTCACGGATGAAGAAATAGCGGAGCTCAATGTGTTTGGAGCGACCGTGGAACACGGGGTCTTGGGTGAGATGGATGGTGCTGGCATTGTCACACCAGAGCGTGGGGCAGCGCTGGGGAACACCAAGCTCAGCCAGGAGGAAGCAGAGCCAGCGGGACTCCTGGGCGGCCATGGTGCCAGCATAGAGCTCAGCTT